ACAAACTGTGAATGAAAACTTGTCATCTCCGACGACTAGCACATTGTAAAAATATGATTTTGGGTCAAGTAACGCCATGGCCGTAAATAAATCGGAAACAGAGATAGCTGAAATCTGAAGCTGAAATGAACGCTGATGTGCGCAATGTCTTGCGCGGTCGAAGTTGGTCCATCAGTTGTGGTTAAAGAATCTCCAAATTAGACCCAGCTTGATATCAGTATCCAGCTCTTTCTGTGTCGATAAAATTGCTCTCTGGGTCTTGCACAAGACAAACGAGGTGCTAGCGTATCGACTTGCTCTATATTAAGCACTGAGAAGTCAGGGAAAAGCTCAATTATAACGAGAGAATATCGAGGTGGTTGTCAGCTGGTCGTTTTATTTCTCATTTGAAAGTAGCTAGGTTTGCCAAAACTAAACCTAGAAGCCTTTCAAAGCTGTTACGTAAATCTAATTGAGAATATTAGGAACTTTACCTCATTATCTACTTATCTTTATCAAGCAACATCTTGACTGCTAATGATTAAGGCATTTTTGAAAAATTTTTTCACGTCCATCAGAGGGCATTGACGAATTGCTCAATATCATACCCAGAAAAGGGAATATTTCAGACATTTCCACACGTATCTTGCAGCAGTCACGAGATAATCATGAGGCTGCCGACGTTTCGTGTTGAAACGTCTGTAGTTACGTGGAAAGGAAAAGGGTAAATAAGCAAAAGTGTTTCTAACGATATTGATGCAATTTCACTTCCGATTAATACCTCATGCTTGCCAAACTTGCTGGCCATGCATTTGCTCACCAGACGCTTGTCGTGCACTCCGTTCTTGAGAATAGATCAGAATAGACAAAAACAAATTACATGACTTCTCAGTGTGGATGAATACTTTCTATTATCGTTGCTCTCACCATTTAGCACATTACTTTATCACATCTGGCTTTTCACAGGGTACACTACTTTGTGTTTATAATAATACATTACTTATACAGGTGAGCGCTACTACTTTGCTAAAATTCCATAGCTTAAGATAGATAACCTCTGATATCCTTTATACAAACCTAAATACACCATATCCTCTACAGTTTTGATGAAATCTACTGCTAACGAAGTAAAAATTTGAATTAAAAATACCGAGTAAAAGTTTCATCTAGCGGTGAGGGAGTTTCAAATCTTAAAATCTCTTAACAAACCCTTTTATCAGTAAACTATTTATTTTCCGATTTTCAAAAACTTTTCCTTTATCTAAGTTTGAAGTTTCATTTAGTTTATCAAATTAGAACAACGACATACTCAATGTAACACGTCCATGAAGGCTAGAGTTCACGTATTGGAACTCATCATTTATGATGACTATCGGGTTCAGTATAGAGTTTGCAACTGAATACTGCAGTCCGTGATGTCCTGCTCTTTTCCCTTTCCACTCTTTGCATCAGTAACATCTGCCATATTTCATGAAGGTTAAAGTTCACGTATTGGAGCCCAACATTTCTAATGACTATCGGGTTCAGGATCAAGTTTGCAACTGAATAATGCAGTCAGTGATGTCTTGTTCTTTCCCCTTTCCACTGTTTGCAACAGTGATATCTTTCATATTTGTGACTTGATTTCCTTCTGAAAGAAGAAAGTAATGACATGGCCAACTTAGCTAAGACTTTCTGTATCAATTAAGCCAATACCTTTACTCTTAGGAACAAATTCTCTGAAGGGTATTTAGTTCATTACTAGGAATGAAATGTTAATTCCCCTCTGGCACATAACTCTTCACACAGGAAGTTGTTTTCTACTCAAAAAGAATATACACTATTGAGGTGGCTGCTGGCTATCTCTGTAAAATAGTGAGATTAATATAGGCCCCAAATATGGTTTTAACTCATTTATTCCTGCAAGGATCACGGTATTTTCAAGCGCAAATCTTGTGTGCATTGCTTGGAAGTGAATAGCTAAGGAAACCTGCAGTTTGAGTACACGCTATTTACTGTTTTAGTATATAATAATTATCGATACTTTAAGACTCAGTGATGCTTAATTGGCTTTCATCTACTTCACCCCTCAATATGTACAAAGAACTAACCATTCACAGCATCTGGAAACGAGCTCTGATTTGCATAACAGACTGAATCCTAAAATGAAACGAATAAAGAATTAAAGCTTTTTTTCTGGTCATATCGCTTGATCCAAAAGATCAGAAAAACTCTCTGATGCTAATGTTACACTGCTGGTGAACTCTCGTTGGTGTTGTTCACTAACTTTCACAATTTTAATCAACCCATATATACCTTTACTTTAAAATCATTCGTTTCTGGTCCTAAATACGTAATGAGACCCCAGCAAGGAAGAAAAACTTGAAAATAAAAGACCAGATCCAAATTAAAAAACACTAAAATGGAGTTTCCTGCAAATTTACACCTTGCAATTGAAAACTATTTTGTGCTTTAAAATTTACCAAAATGTATATGTACCTCCTTAATAGCAGTGCTTGCATACATACGAGTTGTAGAGGAT